GGAGTTCTTCCTGGGAGAGATGTCTCCCTGTCCCCTCCTCTCTCTCTCTCTCTCTCTCTCTCTCTCTCTCTCTCTCTCTCTCTGTGTCTCTGTCTCTCTGTCTCTCTCTCTCTCTCTCTCTCTCTCTCTCTCTCTCTCTCTCTCTCTCTCTCTCTCTCTCTCTCTCTCTCTCTCTCTCTCTCTCTCGCCCTTCTCCTCTCGACGCATGTCTCTTGTGCACGCACGTATGCCTCTCTTGTCCTCGACGATACACTTGTCGCGTCTCGATGCTATCAATCGAGAGTTACGCGGGCCAACAGCCGCGCGTTCCTCCGCAAATGATCGGTAGATTTTCGCAGCAATAAATTCAACCGCGGCTGTGCCGTGTACTTTTCCGACGCGGCAGGTAGCTTCGCTACCTTCTCGCTACTTGTGGCTACCTTGCTACCTTCTTAATCCCGGGACCTTTTGACTCGTTAATGCCAGTATACATTCTTAACTGGCTTAACTCGCTCTTCGTTACTCCAACGGGAGAAAGAGCGAGCGAGAGAGAAAGAGAAGAAGAGGAGGAAGAGGAGGAGGAGGAAGAGGAGGAGGAGGAGGAGGAGGAGAATGGGATAGAGATTCCGACTCTCAAGCATACAAAATCCTCTTTCTCTCCGCTCTCTCACAATCCGGAGGCAGGACGGCAGTAAAGCGTCCCTAACGGCGGATTCGGCCGCAACTCTAAATCTGGATGCACTCTTTTAGAAGTGTCTAACCCCGCTTCTGTTTCCCGTTCCACCACCGCGCTGCGTCTCTTCTCCCGCCGGCTTCTCCGTCTCTTCCTGGCCCGTCTCTTTTGCTACAACTGCACGATGCTGAGCGCGCGCGCACGCGGCCTACTGAAGCAGCGTGTCGCCGCATCCCGAAATCACGTGGAAAGTCGTCGTCGCGCGGCCGCTTGTTCACGAAACTCGTTCACGGAATCGCATTCGGCTGGCAAGCGCGAGGGAGAAAAGAATCCTTTGTCCCGCGGCGAGCGGGTGCGCGTCGGACGAGGTGCGAATCGAAGGCGCGCTCGCACTCTCTCTCTCTCTCTCTCTCTCTCTCTCTCTCTCTCTCTCTCTCTCTCTCTCTCGAGTTCGATCGCGCGCGCACGCGGCGCGAAGAGTGCGTCTCAAAGGCGTCTGAAGGGTGGCGGGTCGGTCCGTCGTCGACTGCGGCGAAATTCGTTTTGTGTGACGAAACACACCGCGTCGGTCTGGTGTATCCGTAAATACGCTCAGCGGCCATTCTCCGTTCCCAGAATAGCCTTCCAGCGCGCCAAAAATGAGATTCCTCATCGTGAGGGCCCGCGCCCCGGGGTGCGTACGTATTCTCTCGTTGTCTCTCTCTCTCTCTCTCTCTCTCTCTCTCTCTCTCTTTCTCTCTCTATATGTCTTTGCCTCTTTCTCCCGTGCAGCTCGCACGACGTGTTGTATTGTGCTCGTTTACTCTCGTCGCCGCGTCGTCGTCCGCGTCCACGGCGCGACGCGGACTAACGGGACGGATTTGCTCTCTCGCGGAGGGGTCGCGGTTGCACCACGGGCTTTCCGTTCGCTGGAAGGCGAGTGGTGATAGCGATCGGCGATAAAAGCCGGCTCTTATCCGGCGAAGTACGCCCCCGGCGGCCGATAGCTCCGAAGCATTGAGCGAGCGAGCGTCTCGCGCGCGAACAAATAAACCGTCGGCGCGCGCGCGCGCGCGCGCGTGGAAACGCGCGAGGGCGAGAAAAATGGTGGACGGTCCGACGACGGGGGGACGGTGACTCGTTATTTACCCCGTCGCTGCAAAAATAGCTCATCACACCGCGAGTGTTGTGTCCGGCTTCGCGCGTCTTTGCGAATGCACTCTCTTCATCCGCGGGGACGGGGGGACGCTTTATTTCCGTCGCGCAAGGTCGCCCGGAACACGACGTCTCACTCGTGCCCCGAACTCGTGTCATGTGTGGCAATCGTCCTCGCTCCGATCGCGGCTCCGCGCGGAAGCTTGCGATGGAAGCCGACGAAAGCCAAGAGATTGAACTCTCTCTCGACATGCTGCGAATCGCTCGCTCGCTCGCGCGCGCGCCGCTCAGCCCGCGGAGAATGCGCGCGTCGACGAAAAGAATCGCCGGCGGCGAATAGTGGGCGACTGGTACCGTTTATTCTACTTCCTCATGGCGGCTCGCGCGCTCGCGACTTTGTCGGGGGTGTGCGTGCGTGTGCGCGCGCGCGCGCGTGTAATCGATGCGATCGAGGCGCGCGATCGCAAGAGGATCCGCGAGTTCGATAAGGAAGGCTAATGCCGAGCCCCGCCGCCGCCGTCCGGGTCTCGCGAAAGGACTTACCGTTCGCTCTCGGCTATACAATATCTCGTGGGAAGCTTCGTCTAGAGGAGCGCGCGCGTGCTGACATGCTGTGTACACACGCACACACACACATGATGTGTGTGTGTGTGTACACGTGGACCGTTGCGTGTTCGCCGCCGCGCCGCAGCGCGATCGAACGCGCGTGCGTTCTCGGCGTCGCGACGACACGGCCGGTGTGCTTCTCGACGTCGGCGCTGTTTACCCGACGTCACCGGCTCATTCACACGACGACGTTATTAGCAGCGGTCGCTTCGAGGACCTCGGAGGAGTCGCGTATCAAAGCGCCGCTCCCCCCTCCCCGTTGGCCGCCGAGCGCTTGGAAAATGTCCGTCGAGCCGAGTTCTCGCGACCGGTTCGACTTGCGAGAGCTGCTTCCTCCAGCAAGCGCGGCCAGACCGAGTCGAATCGAATCGAATCGGTGCGGTGAATCGACGCGTCATGTTCTCGTAATTCGATCGCGGAGAGGACGAAACGTCGACGAAACGGTATCGCGTCGAGGATACGCGCTCGCTCGCTCGCTCGCTCGCTCGCGCGCGCGCGCGCACGTTCGCTCTCGAAGGAGATGCGCTTTTTGCCGGGGCTCGAGACTCGTCGCTCGTTCGCTCGCTCGCTCGGCTTCTCTCCTCCTGGGAGACGTGCGTGCGTGACACGCGTCCGCAAAAACGCGCGCGCACACGTGCTCCTGCGGCGTTTCACGTCGTGGGGCACGAGACGACGACGTCCGCCGCCGCTCGTTTGATAGCGCGACGTTTTTCATGGATCATCTCGGGATGATCCGCCGAGCGAGTCCCAGACCACATTATTGAAGCTGCCTTGCGATCGCACGTGGTGTCTTGGGAGGCACTTGGGTTGCTACGCGAGATTCGAAGACGCCCCTCCGAAGACTTTTGACCTCTCCTCGACCTTCTTTTTCTGCGAGTCTCTGTGATTAATGTTGCTAATTAGCGATAAACTCCAGTATCTCCCCCTCCCTCCCTCCCTCCCCCCCTCCCGCCAGAGATTAGTGCTTTCGAACCAAGCTTGCGTTGAAATGAGAAGAAGTTGTTTGAGAAAAACGTGACGATTGAAAGAAAGAGATTATTATTGAAATAATAAAAATTCAAAAAATTTCAGATTTTTCTTCATGTATATATTACAGAACTTGTGATCGTTAAAAAATGGAAAAGGGTCAAAGGGACTCCCTCCGGGAGGGGGAGGGGGAGTGGATACTTGCAGTGTTAATACACGATGCAATGTTTGATACAAATAAAGCGCGCACTGTTTCAATTGTTATTTAATGCTCGACGATTTCGGTCGTTGACTTTCCGTTGTCCGAGCCGGCGCGGGCGCCGGCGGCGGCTCAGACGATTTCGGAGCAACTTTGTGCGCCGCCGCTGCGACTGCGCTTCCGCTTCCAAGCTGACACGCGCGTGTGTGTGATCTTCTTGCAGGTGAGCGCGTCTGGAGTGTTCGAGTTGAGGCTAAAGTCCTTCGTGAACGAGTACGGCAAGGACAGCCTGGGCAAGTGCTGTTCCGGCAGCGTGTCCAGGACGGGCGAGTGCTCGGGCGTCTGCAAGACGAGGTTTCGGGTATGCCTGAAGCAGTACCAGGTGAAGATCGACACGACGTCGGCGTGCACGTACGGCGACGTGGTGACGCCCGTTCTCGGCGAGAACGTGGTCAACCTCAGCGCTAATGTCGCCATGACGAGCTTCACCAACCCCATCAGGTTCCCGTTCGAGTTCACGTGGCCGGTAAGTTTTTTTTTTCTCTCTGTGACGCGTGCGTGTGTGTGCGTATGTGTATGTGTATGCACTCGATTAGTCTGAACGGATCTCGTCGATGGTGCGTGTTATTTCATCTTCGCCGATGGCGGAAGACGATGATTGTGCCTGTCGCCTCGATCGCGACGCTGAAAATGAGAAAGTCGCGCGCGCGGTGGCATCTGCCCGTGAATTTTTGCCGTGGGAAAACTCAGCCCCGGACTTTCTACGGCCGCCGATGATGTAGCCAGCGGTGGCGCGGAAGAACGCGCTGAGCGCGCGTGGTCGCGCGAGTACAGGCGTAGGTTAGGTCCGGCGCGTACCGGCGAATATATCATTGTCGATTTGTGCGCGCGGTGATTTATAAACTTTCACGGACACCGCGCCGTGTGTCGACACGACGGAGTCTTGCGAGAGAGGTGCGTGTGTGGCGATTTTTTTTCTTCTCTTTCTCCCTCCCGCCCTGTTTCCCTTTGCCGGAGCCGCGCGCGCGCGCGCACGCGCGCGATTAGCATAAGCGTTTGAATGTGGGATGCAAGAAATGTTGACGACCGTGTGGAGTAACGACGAATAACAGTTGCAGCGCCTTCCACACAGAGTGTCGCGCGCTGGCGCGTAACTATAATGGCGAAAACCCGAGGAAAAAGGGAGAAAACCGAGGAAATCGTATCGATCGACGTCATTTTCGTGACGTAACGCGAAGCATTACACGCGAACGAAAAGCGAGCGTCCAGCCGCGCCGCGCCGCCGGTAAGGCGACACAGATTCTTACGAATTCCCTCGTAACCGTCAATTATATAAAACGAACACGCGCGTGTCATCTCTCTCTCTCTCTCTCTCTCTCTCTCTCTCTCTCTCTCTCGTAATTGATCGACGAGGAGGGAGATGTCTTCGTCCTACCGGCCGGCCGGAGGCGAGCGAACACGAGGAAAGGGGGAAACACGCGCAAAAAAGCGACGGCGTGTCGCGGCACGAGTAAAAGCGACAACCGCGAACTCATTAGTCGGGAAACATCGCGAAAGGGAAAGAACAATGCTTCCGTCCGCCCATGGCTGGTCGCGGATGCTAATGGCGAGTGCATTACCTAGCTAGGCTCTGTCCGTCGCACGAGCGAGTGAACGCGCGAGATAAGGAACACGGAATTCGCGTGCGCGAGGGGCAGCGCCTACACGGCCGCGCACTCTCGGCTCTACAAAGTCTCGCGTGGACCGCCGCGTGGATAGTGGACTGCTGCGGGGTCGGACGGGGGGACTCGCCGCCGCCGCCGCCGCCGCCGCTGCTGCCGCCCTTTGTAACCTTGCGAAACGCGCGCCCGCGAGAAGCGCATAGCTTCGCTCTGTCGTCGTCGGCCGTAACTTCGGACAGGCCGACTAATTAGCGCGGAAGTCTCTCGCGTGGACTCGCCGCCGCGGAACGGCGAGCCGAGCTAACCCGTCGCCGCCGGTTCTCGCGGGGGAGAGATATCGCTTTCCCCGAACTTTTTCCGTAATTTTGTCGCGCACTCGAGTCGCATCGAAAATGCCGTTCATTCATTGCGCGGCTTGATCCACGGCTTGGATCAGTGCGGTGATCTGGGGCGGTATGAAACGCGACTGTTTGTCGCGTAAAAGTGACGAAGGATTTAGCAAGAATATGGAGCAAGAAATTCGGAGAAACCAGCATCGTCGTAAATAGCAGTCCGCCATTTTCGATCACTCTCGAGGCTAGACCGCGATCAAACCGTCGCCGGTAGGATTCTAACTACGGAGGATCTCGAGAACGATGCACCTTTTCTCTTTTTTCTGCTTCTTGGCGTACCGCAAGCGCGTCTCTCTCCCGCCAGTCTGGCGGGAACGTCGGCGAATGTAGCAGCAGCAGCAGCAGAAATCTCGTAGCGCGCACGTAGTGCGACATAAATCGTCGGGGGGCGCGTTGCAAATTCCTACACGCGGTTTCGAGTACGTGTCGCGCTCGGCGTGCGTCGCTTTTTGCGCGCGCCGCGCGCCGCGCTGCGCGCGTCACAGTCTCTCGCGGCGATGCTGCCGCCGCACGTGTGCGCGCAATTGCGGGGAAGAATCGCCGTCGCGGTCGAGGAAGACGTTGCTGCTGCTGCACGCGTCGGCGGTCGCGTTGCATTTGCAACAGGTCGGGAGCGGCGGCGGCCGGCCGCTACTTTGATTTCGGGCTCGCTCGTCGACGCGCGCAATTAGCGAAAAGGGCGTTACCTCCGCCGGCTCGCTCTCGCGTGCGCGTCGCTGAGGGATCTCTCCTCGCATCTGCCTCTCTTCGCGCCTTCCTGCTTTCGCGCCCTGCTTTCGGGAGGAAAGAGCGAGAAGGGCGACGCCGTACGGACAGGTTGATTTTGTGTTGAAGGAACGGGAGCGTGTATACGTGCTGTACACCGAGGGTTGCGCGCCACGCACGACGCGCGTGCTGCCGTTGCTTGCAGTCGGCGGTGCAACGAAGAGAAAGAGAAAGAGAAAGAGAAAGAGGGTGCCAGCCGAATGGCAGATGCCGCTGGGCAGGAGGGAGACGCAAGAACCGAGCGGGGGAAGAGAGAGAGAGAGAGAGAGAGGAGAGAGAGAGAGAGAGGAGAGAGAGAGAGAGAGAGAGAGAGAGAGTAGCACTTGTCTTTCCCTCCTGCTGTTGTTGATGCTGCTTGCTGTTGCTGGCGATGCCTCCCTCCTCTCCCGCCTCTCATAGGCGCCGAACGCGAAAAATCCGCGACTCGCCCCCGCCCCGATTAGCATCCGAGACGAGTCTCGGCAAGGCTCGAGATTCGCCGCGTCGATTGCGCGGGAAATTCTGGTCTGCGCGAAAACAATGGCTCGATTCGCGTTTGCGGTCTCTCTGCCGAGGTGAAAGAATCTCGTTCTCGTGCAATGTTCCTCCGGTTATTAACGCGCTCCGTCTCTCGTGTGCGTGCGCGGCGCAGAAAGTGTCGCGTTATAAATATCCCGATTAAAGATCAACGCAAAGGAGCAACCGTTCGCTCGATCTCGACGCGATATTATATAAACGTCGCCAAGGCTGCGACGTAACGCGACTGCTCATTGACTATTTATCGGGCTCTCGCTCGCCGTTTCGTGCCGACGATACCAGGTATCTGCGCGCCGCGATCGAGCGCGCCGCGCCGGCCCGCGCGAGTAATTAGCGCGTCGCGAGAATACCACCGCCGCCGCTCGCATATCCATCTGCTCGCTTTCCGCGTCCGCGAGCGCGCTCGCAAGTGGAAGCGAAGGAAACAAGCGCGAAGCGTGTGGAGAATGTACGGCGCGAGCGGGTCGAGCCAGCCGCCGGGCGAGGGAGGAAGAGAGAGGGCGACAGGGTGACTTTGTAGCAGCGTGCGGTGGATGTCAATGAGGACGTCCATTGTCGGGCCGGAGGCGACAAGAAGTATGCGCCAATGCGCCGCAGCATCCTTGCAGCGCACGTCAATCCTCTCGTCGCGCATTTTCTGACTACGGTTCTGACTATGAGACCGATCGCTTTCTCTCTCTCTCTCTCTCTCTCTCTCTCTCTCTCTCTCTCTCTCTCTCTGCTGGCAGAGCCGCCAGCAGCAGATGGCCGGGGCCTTTTGCGCCTCTACACTTCCCACGTACTCTCTTTCTCTCTCTCTATCTCTCTCTCTCTCTCTCTCTCTCTCTCTCTCTCTCTCTCTCTCTCCCCCCCCTCCCTCCCTCCCATCTGCGCTCCGCGCCACGTCGTTTGCGGTCTCTCTCTGTCTCTCCCGCGAGCAGAGTTAAATTTACTAACCCATATGGCGCCCCTCGCGCTTCTAACGAGCGAACGATTCTTTCTCTCTGTCTCCCGCTCCTTGCATCTACTTGTTCTCGTCGGTCTCTGCACGTTCGTCCTCTCTCCATTTGCGTGCTCCTTTTTCTTTGAACGAGATAACGCCGCTGCGAGATCGCGTTAATTTCTCGCTCCTCGGGACGTGTACACTCGTGTGCTCGTCCCGCTGAAATTAATCAGTTTCGCGTGTTTCTCTCTCTCTCTCTCTCTCTCTCTCTCTCTCTCTCTCTCTTTTTCTCTCTTGTTTCCTTCGTACAGTGTATTAAATGCGCATCTGTCAGTACTTGGAGTACTCTGTATACCGGCTGGGTCTTTAAAGCAAAATAAATTCGCTCTCTCTCTCTCTCTCTCTCTCTCCCTCCCTCCCTCGCTCGCACCCGGATGGCACGGCACGTGCGTTTCTCGACATTTACCACCGGCGGTTCATGCCCGCAGCCCGCGTCCGATAGGACGCTATCGCCACGCGAGCAATGTCGAAATTATCCCGAAAGAGAGCGAGAGAGAGAGAGAGAGAGAGAGAGAGAGAGAGAGAGAGAGAAAGAGCAAGAGCGAAAGACAGCAGTTAACCGATACCACCCGGCGGCTTTGATGTAGCATCAAACAAAGTTCGCCGGTAGCCTCGGTAGGCTTCTCGGAAGAAGGCTCGTTCGGCGCAGCGACTCACGCAGAACTTTCGGCGCTTCCTGGCCGATTCCTTTCCGTCGGCAGCGTTCGCTCGTTCCCGGATATCGGCGAAATCCCGTGGGATCGTCGGCGAAATAGAATTCGGAAGCGGCGCGAGCCCCGACGCGATCGCGGCTTACTTTGAAGTGCCCGATTTATTTTCGTAGCCTCTCAATGCGCCCGTCGTCTTTGTTACACTTTGATCTCGGCGCGAGTAGTTCGACGGACGAGGAGACGACTACCACCGGCCAATTTCGCAGTGTGTGTACACACCGCGTACGTGCGTAATTGAACGAATGTGCGAACGCGAATTTCCTCCTCTTCCCTCTCCCTCCTCCTCCTCGCGTACAGGGTTTTCGACTCGGCTTGGCGCGTCGCGCCGGTGAGTTTGCAAAAACCTCCCGCGTTTTCTACGCCGCGAAAGCAGCACAATTTACGAGGCGCGACTCAACGGGCGGCGGGAGTGAGAGAGAGAGAGAGAGGGGGGGGAGCGGAGGGAGCAAAGAAACGAATTAACGCGTCGTTGCCGCGGCTGATTACGCTCCGAGTCTGCAATTAGTAAAATGACCGGTGTCGGGGCGTACACGCCGCGAGAGAGAGAGAGAGAGGGGGGGGGGAGAGAGAGAAAGAGAGTATCGGACGAGCAGCGGGAACCGATAA